GGGTGATACATTATAAATGCTGAGCAGAATATGCAAAAACAGAGCCGTGCATTTCTGTCATGATTTCACACTGACAAAGGCACTTTTCTACTCTACATGACAGAGAGGATTAATAATCATCCATTACTGTCAGAGTTCATCAGCTTTCCGTTTGGTACGGCGGCCGAATCGCACGGCAGATCCGCGTTTCGTTAGCTGATGTCGTATTACTCCTGGGAGGTTCAAACCATCCAATTTAGCCGCTCTCGTATTATCACGCCGGCTGTAATCCGTTCATTAGGGAAACAATCTGAAAGTCTTTTTTGATAATTAATGGCATTTAAATAATGATGTGATGTACTGTATATGTGGGAGCAGCCTCCCTTATAGCATGTTAATGATCCACAGCATTCCGCTAATCAGTCAATTAATCACCATCTTATGAATTTAATCTCTTACTTAGGCTCTGTTCTACATAATGGGGTTTAAACATTCAAATCCATGCTTGGATTACAAATGAGGTTCATTCTGATGCAATGCTCTTCTCCCTATTGACAGGCTTTGATTTGAGATGTTATTAGAGATGTTTCATTTCTTCTTCAAACACACGAGGATGTGTCGGCATGACTTCGGGAAATGCTTCCATTGAACTTTTGAAGAGTTGTTGTTTTTGTATATCCTTAAGGATGCAAAAAGAGATCATATTCTTCAGGGTGGTATTTTCTGATGAAAAAACACAAACTCTCCACAATCTCTGGATCTCCTTCAAAAAAAGCTCTGAAGCCCATTTTTTTTCCTTTGATGAATTCACACAGCGCATTTGAAAACAAACTAATGTTTATTTATCACATACTTAAATCTCTCATATCAAGAGTTCACTTAGTCTGAAGGGGAGTGAAAGAAGATTTTGGTTGGGAAGAATAAAGAGCGGTGGGTTGGTTTTTGGAAATATTCTAATCAATATCACTCAGGGTGAGTCGTTTATTTGTTAAAAGGATCAGTAAATTGCACAAGCGAATTCAAACCATAGGCATTTAGATTTAGAAAAGGACACTGCTGGGGACAATTTTACAGCTGCAATATTTATTTTTTTGTTGTTTGATCTGAAAATGCTTTTTTTACAAAGTCCCCCCCTTTTAAGAGCAAAAAGTTTTGCTAACTGCAGAAATAATCTTTTTTTTTTCAGTGACCAATATGCTAAAACTTACTTTTAATGGTTGGACATTGTTGGAAAATTACTCTGTTAATATATATAGATTATAGCTGACATAATATATAATAGCTGACCTTGCACTGCAGGGACCACAACATCTACACCCCCACATGTTTCTAATTATCTCTTTTAATTAATTTGCTCTGCACTGAAATCAAGTTCTGAACTGTTAAGAGTGAAAATGAACCAGACCAGATCTGGTTGGCTCCAGTTACTTCCTAAAGAGCTTGCTATAGTTGCCCAGCAACAGGTTGCTGCCATTAAACTGTTCAGCACAAAACGTCTAATTTAATGGATATGCAGCCATCTCTTAACAATGTGCAGCATCCTCAAACATTTACAGTAATGTTTACAATGTTCCTGTTTGTCACACAGCTGTCATTTGCACTGTTCAGAACAAAGCGACTATAGAGGAAACTCATCAGGGTAGACACCTCATTCTAAAAATCCACACCAGCTACTTGTTTCCCTTTTTTCTAAACATTTATCAGTTCATACATTCATTTATTGGGCACTTGTGCAAAGAACAAATCGCTGTAGCCAATTAGCGCACATACACATTTCAATTTATCTTTCTTTTTTAAATAGAACAACTATAGAAATGAAGTTAATTCAACGTTAAACATTAGTTACATCAACGTTAGTTGGGAAGAAATTTATTGAAGTATTATAAACCATTTTAGCTTCATGAGGAACGTGAGGTAAAAGTTGGTGAGCTTGAATGTAGTCTGCAACATAGTCACTTTGACAGATGTCCCTTTGAGCTCATCAGCCGCAATAAAGCCGAAGTCATCTGGAGAAGCTGAACTAGCACATACCGTGGATATTTGCTTCAGATTAGAGAAATGTCAGCGTTATGTGGGCTTGGAAAAAAGTCACTGATGTGGATATCTGCAATGTCAGATTGCTCCCAGATATCATCAGATACTAGCTGGCTGCTGCCTTCTGTCGTACCACAAATGCTAGAAACTAGCTGCACAGTCTCATAGCCAGCGTCACGCTCAGCATGAGCTTCACTGCAAAGTTTTTTATTTCCTAAAGCCTTCAAAATGTTCAATTGTTTGAATTTCCCCTTTACTATGCTACTTAAATTATTCCCAACACACACAAAGAACATAGCTAACTTCACAGTGGTGTCAGAAATGTTTTTCTACAATAACCCTTAACCTTTTCTAACACCAATCATTTGCCTTCAGATGGATTTGTATCATGACGTTGGTGAGTGGAAGGGACCATAGACCGCAACTCGAGAACAGAACAGAGGAAAGAAAGCAAAAGAATAAAACACAGGATCTGTCAATAGCATAGTTTTGTTTTCATATAAAGTTATACCACAGTGCATCGAGTATTTATGTCAAAAACCTTTCTTGTTTCAGCTGCTCAGTGACTGTACTGAGCTAAAACTCAAAAATATTTGCGCTTCTGTTATCTTATCACATGAACTGAGCAGTTTCATTTGTTAGCTAATTTGTACTGAATGCTAACATTAGCTTAATTAATCTGTTAATTATTTATTCTCAATAAAAGTGAAATTAAAGACCAGGATTTAATTCTGCATAATTATCAAATAGGATATAAACAAAGTACAATTTGAATACTCTGAGAAACCCAGAGTTTCTTCTCATAAATGGCTAATTACAGTGATGTTTATTATAACTAAAAGATTTATTAAGTGACTCTAGATTGCCTGTAGGCGTGCATGTGGATATGAGTGTGACTGGTTGTTTGTCTCTATATGTCAGTCCTGTGAGTGGCCGCCTCTTACCCAATGACCGCTGGGATCCGCTCCGGCCCCCTGCAACCCGAACGGGAAAAGCGGTCTAGATAATGGATGGATTTCTTTAGCAGTGATAAAGCACTAGATTTCAGTTTTTAGTGATTCAGCTACATTATCAGAAGGCGGTATTATTTTCTTGTCATTATAACAAAAAGTGAAAGTTATTGTCAAGGAGAGCACTATTCAGCCCACAAATGATGATGAATTAAGAGCTCTGAAGGGAGCTCTCCGATGTGTGGGGGGGGGGAAAAAAACATGACATTGTCACTGTCATTTTGTTCTTTTATGAGATAGAGATTTTCAAGAGATGACAGGAAATGAGAGGGAGAGAGATAAGACTCGACGTGTATCAAAAGGTCCATTCATGCTCCGTGTATGTTGCTTTGATTTTGTCCCTCTTTTTATTTCTCCGTGCAGCATCTTAATGAAAAAAGGTATGATAAGTCACGGGGGTTCCTCTTTAAGAAGGATTTTTGATTTTTATACATACTGAAGGCTTTTAACTTGTCAGGTTTTTTTTTTTTTTTTTAGATATTTTCAGACATACTCAAATAATCCTTGGCAAACCAGACATAACCGTTCTCAGCTTTGTGGGGAGCTAGACTAAACATTATTAATTCCTGTCTGGATCTGTGCGTCAGCTTAGATTACCCTCATTGTTGGAGTGGTAGAATATTTTTGGGATGGCTACATACCTTCGAGGCAGACGTTTCATGGTCACTTGCTTCAGTCTGGTTATTAAAAAAAAAAAAAAAACACTGCAGTGCTCTCTGAATGCTACTCATATCTGGAATTGAAACGTAGCTCAGCTGACAGAAACACTAATGTGATTTATTTGCGTTCTGCTTGGAGGGCTCAGTGACAGGAGGAGCAGACGGAAACGCACTGAACATCACAGAGTGACGGATAAATTGTAGTTTCTGCAAAAGCTCACTATAACCACACTAAAGGAGCAGCTTTTCCCCCCAATTAACACATGTCCCTTCCTGTTGCCCAGCCTTGATTTCTCTATAAGTTAACATTTTGACATGCTGAGTTATTTATTGATGAGGCCGGTGCACAAGGTGGTGGGGCTCCTGCTGGCGAGTCAAGCGCTCAGCATCTGTACAGTTTTTTTTTTTTTTATCTTTAATATTTAAGTAAGTGCTGTAAAAGTCCCACCAGACTGTTGATGAGATGAACTTTCTGACCCAACCCGTCACACGCTTCAAAACACACATCAGCAGGAACGCTTGAACAGGTCGAAGCAGAAACACCTTGAGACATTGGACGGAAATAGACTGCAGCTGGAGACTGCGGATTTAGCTTAAACAGCAAAAAAACAGGCAGGTCGTGATTTTAATCAAAATGCAGTTTAACAAGTTTTGAATACTGTTAACACCTGAGGGAGACTCAGGTTTTTAACACTTAATTAAAAAGAGCTGCCCTATATTCCTCCTGTAAACATACTGCGTTAATACAGTAATCATAACTTCATTGTTTCAGATTAGAAAGTGCCATATCGAACCAGTAAATGTTCAAGAAGAGAACTATTACCCATTCCAATTTACACTCGCCTGAGAAGAGAAAAGTAGTGCCAAGCAATGCAGAAAAAGGAAAAGGTGCAAGGCAGTTAGCTGCTTTATGACACTTTAAAATTGGATTCTACAATTTCTGGTAATAAATCCTGTATTAATTTAACTCCCTAAATTAAACTACGGGGTGTTATGGCTCCAAATATGCAGAATATAATAACGTTACCATTGGAGCATATTAAGTCGTGAATCCAGATATCTTGTGACACATCTCAGACAACAGAGAGGTAATGACATCCTGAAGCAGTCTTACTCTAACATGTGCAATATGTTCTGCCCTATCAATAGTGCACGAGGCTTTTATTTGAGCCAAGCTGACACATTACTTGGCTCCTCATATGTGAAGGGCCGTTGGCAATGAAAACTGTGTTATATGGCCCAGTAGTGCTGACAGGTTTCTTTCTCCCTCTCATCTGCCCTCCCCCTCCTCTCCCCTCTTTATTTCTCCCTCTTCTAGGCTGTGGAGAGGCCGGCACGTGGCAGGAGGCGAAAGGGGGGGAAGGATGGATCTTCAGCTCGGTGTGAGAGCCTCCCCCCAGGGAAGCCGCGTCGGACGCAAGGCCTCATGGGCCGTTGACCTGCTGTCTCCGTGATTTATGGCGGCTGGGGGCCTCTGGCCACTGCAGACTGCTCTCCTCTCTCTCCTCCGTTTCCCGTCATACACACCGCAGGAGTGCAAGGAGCCACACACACTGCGCCACTGTCTACAGGACGATCCGAAGAGGGATTCCTCGCACATGCTGAGCTGCAGCACCGCCGCGGCTTTGGACACCGCCTCGTACAAAAATAAACACCCTCATAAACATTTCTACACTGCAACAGCGTGTCCTGTAATCCCATCACATGTACATTAGACCAGAGCGAGTGTTCTCCAATCTGACTGTGTGTGGATTACTATCAGTTATGGTGTGTCAGCTGTTGAGCCCTCGGTGTGGCTGCTGCTCATGAGCAGAGGCGGATCAATGGAAGTGCGCTGAGTAACGACGTGATGTTCCTGTTTCCACGTGGTCTGAGAGCAATCAGCAGCTGACTCTACACACTGCTCTGCTTCTACAGAATAACCGGGACTCTCATCGCCGTGACTTTTTGTACTGTTTCTTTATCTGCTGGACAAAGTTTCTCGTGGACTGCACAGCTGGCAGCCCGAAAAGTTTTTTTTTTTGCCTGAGCGAGTTGCTTTACACACCTTCTGGACTAGTGTTTCTTTTTAAAAGCTGGGGACTGTTGAGTGAGAGCCAGACGGTGCCCTCACCATGGTGTTACCGCCCCCAGACAAACGCCACGTGTGCCTGACCACCATCGTCATCATGACCAGCATGGCCTTCATGGATGCCTACCTGGTGGAGCAGAACCAGGGTCCCAGAAAGATCGGGGTTTGTATCATAGTGCTGGTGGGGGATGTCTGCTTCCTCATAGTCTTGCGGTATGTTGCCGTGTGGGTCGGCGCCGAGGTGCGTACGGCCCGAAGAGGATACGCCATGATCCTTTGGTTTCTGTACATCTTCGTCCTGGAGATCAAGCTCTACTTCGTCTTCCAGAATTGCAAGGCAGACAGGAAGAGTTTGGAGACGGTAGCCCGGAAGGCATTGACGTTGTTATTATCTGTGTGTGTACCGGGCTTGTACTTGGTTCTAGTCGCTCTGGATAGTATGGAATATGTGAGAACTTTTCGAAAGAAGGAGGACATGAGAAGTCGTCTCTTCTGGGTGGCACTGGACCTGCTGGATCTGCTGGATATCCAGGCCAACCTGTGGGAGCCCCAGCGGACAGGCCTGCCCATCTGGGCCGAGGGTCTAATGTTCTTCTACTGCTACATCCTGCTGCTTATCCTGCCCTGCGTGTCACTCAGCGAGATCAGCATGCAGGGAGAACACATGACACCCCAAAAGATGATGCTGTACCCAGTCCTGAGCCTGGTCACCATAAACGTGGTCACCATTCTTATACGAGGCGTAAACATGATTCTGTTTCAGGACAGCCGGGTTTCAACTATATTTGTTGGTAAAAACGTGGTCGCCATTGCTACCAAGGCGTCCACCTTCCTGGAGTACCGCAGACAGGTGAAGGAGTTCCCCCACCCGCAGAACGCGATGGCGCTCGAGCTGCAGCAGAACTCCGTGAGCCACACGCAGCCGCTGCCAAATGCCACCAGTTTGCCACATGAACCCTCGCCGGCTCAGGACGTCATCGACACATGACCGCCAGCACTGGACTGAACCCCATTAGAAAAGTGACTGCTTTTTATGTCAGCTTCAGGAGTGGAGGTAGATAGAGAAATCAGCTGCATGACAGGATGATATTCTGCTCTTGTCATGCCCACATGAACTGCTGTGAAACCATAAAAGAGATTTTCAGCATCACCTGCCTGTCAGAACACACTGTAAACCTACACTTCACTCTCGAGTGCAGCGTGCAGACTGTAGAAATTCAAGTCAAAAGGTTTTTAGTGTGCTGTTGTGTTTTTAATTGTTTCCAACGTTTTAAAAGTTCAAAATTTTAGTAAGAGACAATCTCCGCACTGCGCAGACTGCTGACATTCTGTTTGTGTGAAATGGACAGTTGGTTCCCCCTTGGTGAGTATCTTGTAATTTTTTTAAAGGTCACATTTTTAACAGTGCATCTGTGGCATTTCCTTTGAATTCCAGCACCAAAGGACAGAGCACTCAGCATGAAGCACTGACGGAGACAAGGAGCAGAGAGTGACACGGGTCAGTCATGGGGGGCCTGACTGTGCCGGGCTAGAGCAGGGGTGGTGTCAGAAGAATGCTTATCTGTCTGTGTTTGGGTTCTGCTGAGAAACGAGCTCAGTGGAAGCTGCTGCCTCGGTCATCGTGACGCTTTACGACCAAAGGTCTGATTAAAGCACCAGAGCTCAGCACTATACCATCTACTGCAGGCATCCAAGCGTATGTTTTACCGTCTGTGTGTGTGTGTGTGTGTGTGTGTGTGTGTGTGTGTGTGTGTGTGTGTGTGTGTGTGTGTGTGTGTGTGTGTCTCTACGAGCACCCACACTAGTCTTGAGAGTATGAATGCCTACAAAGCGTAGGGGTTCACCACAGGAGGTTTAGGCTATTTCACACTGTTTTGGAGCAAGCAGGAGTGGTTGATGTGTGTAGTGACTTGCAAATGACAAAAATATATGTTGAAAAAAAAAACAATATGATGGAGGTAAGATACTTTTTGTTTCCTGTACTGTACATTCCTCTAAAAATAGCTCAAAACCTCGAAGTCAGAGAATGCAGAGATCAGAGTCCAGAGAGCGCCTCGTTGAAGAATTGACACAAAAATAAACACATAAAGACAAAAATATAGAAACAGAAAATAATTTTTCTGATTATATTCAGTTTATTATTATCATTATTATAATTCTGTATATTCTTTACTTGTTGGAGGCAAATGATGTTTTAATAAAAGTATTATTACAAGAACAACAGAGAGTGGGGGTTCTTTGTTTGTTTGTTTACATTGGTCATTATGGTTGAGTAAATGTCATTTTTAGCTGATTTAAAAAGCATCTAATGCTATTTTTGCAACAACAGCTGCAACATGACAGAAAAGCAGCTTCTGTGATGTTTTGCATAGAAGGTTTCACACAGCACATAAATATTCAGGCTGAGCAGCCTCCTTCTGGACTCTGGCGTTAGTTTTTTTTTTTTTTTTCCCTTAGGCTACCGCTTTTGGGGAAAGCAAGCAGAGAATTTATGTTTAAAATATGATGAAATGTATGAATCTCTTCTCAGACTGTTTCTCCATTTTTCCTCCCAATTCTTTTTTTTTTATCATCACCACATTTTTTCTGTGTCACTGCTTATCTTCTCTGCACTTTTCTGTTATCAGTTACCAACTCCAAACACAGCCGCTCATTTTTTATTTTTTTTTTACCCCTAGAGAATTCTATGTACCCGTTCAAAGTGATGTGCGGGGTCAGCCATATGGTAGAAGTCACTTTATTGTCCTCAGGTTAACGAATGTCAACTGCTGATCTCAGCTCACAGACAAGCACCCTCAGACCCTGAACAGCCGACTCCATTAACAATAACTGTCAGCCACAGAGTGATGAACAGGCTCAGGATTACAAGCAAGAGACGTTTCCTTTTTTTTTTGCTTTACGTTAGCAGTTTACAAAGATCATCGTGATGTCATTCATGGTTCTCAAAATATGGCAACGCCAATTCTACTTTAAAAACAGCAGCTTCTTCAAACTGAGCGGACTATAAAAAGACTAGGACAAACCAGAGTGCTCATCTCATTTACATAAAAAGGTAAATATGAGGTCATTCAATCATTTTCTTAAAGCTGTGATTAATGTAAGTTATTCTCATTTGCAGCGGCCAAACTTCTTCTTGCATTGTGCTGCAGTATCCTGACAGCCATGTATGGTGTTGTTATTTTCTTTTTATGTAGCTTTGGGTAAAATTGTGCTTGGTTGGCAAATTTTTTCAGTTTCTTTGCAAAATGTGCAAAATAAAACGAGAAATACACAAATACTGAGTCAACAAATGAAACTACACATACACATCGAGTTACTGATTTCAGTTCAGTTCTTACACTTTCTCTGGAGTTGCTTCAAGCTCATCAAACAACCGATCGTTTAACTGGGCGGGATGGGATCAGTTCAGGGCCTCCAGTATCTGTACAAATCCTTCTCTTGGAATCTCTTCTGTTGAAACATATTGATTGTTCTTGCCAGTGGAGCATTAAATATTTCTGAGGAGGATCTCCCCGGGCACATCCAGTTCATTCTGGTTGGCAGTTTCCAGTTCAGCTCCTGTCTTACAGTAATAGTCCACTATAGACCTAATTATAGAGTTGTGCGATAGAAAAATATTGAGTAACTTTGACAGTGTAGTTTCTGTGCGGTTTGCAGGAGATTTCCTGCAGCAGAATTATTTTCTGTACTGATAACTATGAGGAACTTCATGACTGTAGAAAGTTGTTATATATGGATTTTTTCATCCAATTACATTTATTTATGTGTTACCTTTACTGTAAACAGTTGAGCGTATGAGAACATCATTAAAGAGGCAAACAGACAGCATTGATTTTAAATCGTTATTTAAGGATGATCCTGGTTGAAGGTTATGATTCTTATTAAAAAGTAATGACAATGTACTCACCACATGAATTTCTCTTTAAATGGCAGGATCACTGAAAAAGGTAGAGGAAAGAGGATGGTCACAACATACACATTTCAGAGAAAACATCACATTGTACTAACAGAGTTTGGTTTGTCTGTGCCTGACTTTTGGTTTCTTTCATTTCATTTAAAACAGAAAAATGTATTCAGGAATTCTTCCTTTTGGCTTGTTTACAGCCAGCCTGGTCATCTGAATGTTTTTCTCCGGGCAGAAACAGGAATACATTTACATATGATCAGATCTCTGCTTTTAATCTGGTGAATTTTTCTCATTAAAAATAATAAGAACAAAACTACAGAAATAAAACCAAAGTGACGATAATTTGGTGTAATGAATCGTAAACCAATGACAAGATGGTTGTCGTATAAATATATACAGTATCATGCTTTGATCCCTGGGCTGCAGGGGCGTTTTCAGAGAGTGTCCAGGGGTGACATGGGCCCCCCTAGAAATATGATTGGCCACCCAAGGTGCCACCCCAAAAATCATGAACTGTGATTGGCAATTTGCCCTGTCAGAGGCGGGACTTATGTTAAAATCAACTAGTAGGTAACTTTTTGCAAAGGCTGCCAGTAGGTTTCTTTATACAACAGTGTAGCATTTTTTCTTTTGCTTGTACTTTAAATAAAATAAAAATAATGTGCACATCTATTTCATTAGACAAGTTTATAGGAAAGTAATGCACGCTGTCTTACCTGCAATGAAATAACTGGCTATGTGTCGTGCCCAAAACATTGCAAGTCAGACCGTGCAAGAGTTTTTTTAAGCACTTTAAATTGTGAATTGAACATACATCTTCTTTTTGGGTCATTAAAAATTAAGCTAATGTTGCTGTTATCTTTTTTTTTTAGATATAAGTAGATATAATTGGTGAAGTTAAAAAGGATAAATAATTGTATTTGTGTGTGTTTGTGCACACATCACACTTCAGGGCACCCCTTCAAGTCAGTTCCCCAGTTGGGCCAGCCCAGTCAAAAGAAGGTTTGACACGCCCCTGCTGGACTGCAAAGCATTACTCTGCCTGAATCTGCATTAATTTAAAAAAAAGAAAAAAAATACATCGTCTTGCTGTCAACCACATGTCACACCCTCAGGAAAGGCAAATAAGTATCTCTCCATAAATCACCCCTCAACATTTTGTCACCTTGCTGACTCCCCTGTCACATCCAGGTCTCTATATTTAGAGCCTCCTTGTTAGGCGGGGACGGCAGTTAATCTAGATTCCACTCAACGCAACATAAACAGTAGATTAGAAAGAAATCTAATTACACACCTCATGCACCGCAAAAAACGATTTGTTAAATGTAAATAGGCAATAACTCGTAAATGTTGAAATGACACTTGGCGTTATGTTTTGACTCTAACAGAAACATGGAGGCAGCATTGTGATGTGACACAGAGCGAGTATTTGGAGCCTGTGTTGACAGCTAATGGCCTGGTTGGCTCTCTGCAACATCTCACGTTATTAAATCTCTCTTATGCTGCCCAAACAGGGCACTCAGCAGATTTTTCTTTTCAAAGAATAGAAATAGAGATCCAACATTTAATGAAAAAAAGCCCCCATCCCCTGTATGAATAAGAGCCACAGAACCAGTCCTTGGTATTCTTTTAAAATATTTTTGGCTAAGAAAGGGACGAAATCCTCGTTGTAGTCTGAATCACAGCTCATTGTTAGGCTTACAGCATTAGCCACTATGCTGTGAATAAATCTTTTCAGCCCAAGTGGTTGAAAAGGGGGGGGGGGGGGGGGAATAAATGGCTAACTTGGGAACAGAATAAATGACCTGTGGCTGCCTGTGCAACAGATCACCTTTCTGAGACACTGCGAGCGAGGGATTCATCCATAAATCAGCAGAAATGTGAATCTGGACTGTAATTGGGCTCCCTCTATATGTAATAAGTCAGTAAAAGTTATTTTCCCCTTACTGCCCCAGAGTTACTGTGTATCCATGACTTCCAGGAGCACTTATTGTGAGCATAATTAATTAGAAACAATCAAATGAAGGTGGTGTTTACACTATTACAGACTCCCTTTGCCCACATTTGGATTTGCTGACTTGTAGGAGTTTGTCCACTCAGTTACTGCCTCTGCTTCACACTTGTTAGTAAATGTCTCTGTTCCCCCGCTGTAATCACACTGTTGGCTACACACCATTTCAACTGTACTACCATGGACCGCGCACAGTAATCTATATGGAAATCGCTCTTTGACGGAGCTTCTATCACAAAACCGCAACACATTTGTTCAGCGGATGGTTTAGAAACAGTATCCTTCCGTCAGAAAAAGTTACATTTCTGCAGCCGAATGTTTCCACTTTCACGCGTCTACGTGACAATTACTTTAGAGCAGAGGTTCAGAGAGAACCAGACATCAAACAAGAAATGTAGTGTTGCAAGAGTGAGTGAGTTAGCTTGCTCCAGCTCAAGCCCTGTTATCTTTAACCTACATTAGTTCACAATGCTGCATTCAAAGTATTCAACTGAAACATAAAAAGAACGCTGAAGTACCCAACTGCAGTTTCTCATTGCTAAGTTACCATAGCTGTACAGATCACTGAATAACTGACACTGAAGAGAATTTTAAAATATGTAGATTTTTAGCAAGGTCGAGTCCCAAGAAGGTTTTTTTTAAGTGTCTTTAAACAGAATGATAAACATTTAATATTAAAACTAGGCGAGGGAAAGTTGTTCTCACATAAAGTTAAGCATTTTGAGATGTTACAAAATCACAAAATCTTAAATATGAAGAAATATGTCACGCAAAAGCAGAGGAAGAACAAATAATTCAGCTGATGCATTCATCTGAGTTCAGTAAATGATTCCTTTTATTGTTTGGTTTTTTGCTCTCTCTCTCATCCTGAGCAGAGGTCATCAACGAGACTTATTGAAAACACCTGTGTGTGTATGTGCTGGGCCTTGCTCCACCAGAAATGGCTTAAAGCAGCTGTCAGACAAAGTTAGCTACTATCTCGCTAACAGAATGGAGCACTAGACGATAAAGGGTTTGATATTCCCCCGTAGAGTTAAGAGGAAATCCCAGCAAAGCTAAAAGAAAAGTGAATACTGGACTTACATTTGTCAGCCGGACAGAAACATGGCTCCACATGAATGCTAATTTTACTTCCTGGTTGCTTCATCTGTACCTAGCATATCAGGTGATAATGAATCCACTGTGAATTTCCTGACAGTCACTGCACCCTGG